GAAGGTGGTTCCTTATCCCATTTTGCAAAGGAGGTTCAGAAAGATTAAGCAGGTGGTGCAATGTCATATCTAGTAAGTGGCAAGCTGGGGTCCACACAGAAGCTATTTTTCAGTTCATTTCTTGCACATATATGACCTAGATTATTTGTTGTCTCCTCCTCCTTTTCTTGATGTCTAAGGCCTAGAATCCACATGAACAGCCTTCTTTCTCTACACTTACTCCCAAAGAACACCTCACCTTTTCCATAGCTTCATTGTTATCAATATGCTTACACCCAGAATTATTTCCCCAGCAAGCCCTATCTTTGGGGCTCCTCTCAGATAATATGCAATTTCCCCTGAAAGTGTTTCTTAACTATGTCATAAGCATCCAAATACTATCATGCCCCAAACTCATCCTGAGAGTTTCCTCTAGAACCTCTTCCTCCCAATCTTCTGCTCAGAAAGGATAATATAATCTCCCCAGTTCTTTAAGACACCTAAAAAAAACAAAACAAACAAAAAAAAACATGTCTTGAATATCTTTATACCATTCCATCTCTTTTGCATCAGGGTACCCCCAAGACACTGTTATTTATGGTCTGCAGAAGGGCAGTAGCCCTGAAATTACCTTCTTACATTATTGAATTTCTCAAGGTCTTTCCTGTCTTGTGCCTTTGAGCCTACTGTTCTCTGTCTCCAGTTCATGGTAGGACCTTTCCTGTTCTTCAAGTCTCACATTTGTATGTCATCTCCTCAGTGAGTCCAGCCCTCAGCAATCCCCTTTTATAGTTTTCTCTCAATCTCTGTTTCTGTCCACCTCATTTGATCCCTTCTGATTATTTGGTTTTATATTATTTATTTTCTGTCTGCAACACTGTCAAAGAAAAATTGTACCACAAAAGTTAGTCAGTGAAGACTTTCTTTAAGAATATTGCCATAGAGGACAGAAATTGAATTCAACTCCACTAAAACAAAAGGAGGAAGAGTTTTTAAGAGCTAGAGTGGACAAAAGGACAAAAGGGAGAATACTATTGGAGGAAGAGGTTCTAGAGGAAACTCTCAGGGAATTTGGTCTATGTGATTCGACATGTGTTTAATAATTGGTGTTCTTCCAAGTTGGGCTCCTACACAGTGACTGAGAGATATCTTTCTTTTTTATTTTTGAAATGATACATAATAATTATACTTATGTATGTGGTATAGTGTGATATTCCAATACATGGAGACAGTGTGTAATAATCAAACCAGGGTAATTAGCATATCCATCGCCTCGAACATTTATCATTATTTTTGTGATGAAAACATTCAAAATCCTCTGTTCCAGCTATTTTGAAACACACAGAAAGTTACTAGTAATTAAATCATTCTATTCTGCTATAGCACACTAAAACTTATTCCTCCTATCACATATAGAAGTTAAAAGAGTTGATCTCAGAGACATGGAGAGTAGAATAGTGGTTATGAGAGGCTGGGGAGGTTAGAAGAGAGGTGGAGGTTGATTAAGGGGAGATATCTTCCTTGGAAACCACATTTCCAAGGAATAGCTTCCAGGTTGATATTCCTGCGTTGTAAAACGAGAGGAGTCCAAGAAAAGATTTGCATGTAAAAGGTGCAGTGAAAATTTTTACAATTGAAAGTTTTCTAAAGTAAATGCTCCAAAAAAGGGAAAGTCAGGAGCCTATAGTCAAGAAGAAAACTGTCTATAGTCATGCTGAGAGAGAGGTTGAGGCCATCTTGGTGCATAACTATATCATGAGATTCATACAAAGAGAAAAGTGTTATACTTCTAATCCTAAGTACCTAGGAAAGTTCCTGACACGTGTTTTTAATCAGATTTTGATGAATAAACATATGAATGGCTATGCTACCTTGTAACATTTAACTGTGTTATCTCAGATATTTAGCAACTCTGAACACCAATGCCTTGTAAAACTGGGAGAATACTACGCATCTTATAGATTGATGTTCAGATTAAAGAGGATTGTATATAAAAGCATCAAGAATAGGGTTTCAAATTAAAGCATTTTTCTCTCTAGATATTATACATCATAAATTAACTCTGCAAAGTTCTTAAAATACTACACTGCTTTTGACTATTTTTTCTTTGCTTTGTGCTGTGTTAACATGATTGATATTGTACATCCTTTTGTCTTCTGTGAACACATTCTTAAAAGTAATCAAACATAAAACACAATGATAATTACTCATGAGTAATAAATATAAGACGAACCCTATCTTTAAACTTGAGGCTTCCCAGCAAAAGCCTTTGGCTAGTGTCACTCGTATCCCTTATTACTGGCAGAAATAAGTGAATCTCAAAGAAAGAAACATGTAATGCTTTATCAGGAAGGTTTTTGAGGGAATATTCATACATTAGGATTTGGTGGTTGCCACAACCTGCAAAGATGAGCCTGAGAAACCAATGAGGGGTGATGGGAGATTAGGAAACACACACACACCACACACACACACACACACACACACACACACTTTGAGAAAAAGCTGGGATCAGGTGAAACACTGCACTCTGATGGAAGAAACAGTGACTGAAGAGCTGGCCCAGCAAGTTTATTTATATAGGATCTAATAATCAAGAAATTAAGGACTATAGAAGTTTTGTTCTTTGTGCATTAGAAAGTTTCAGGGCTAGAAACATTCTTGTAGCTATTTCACTGTTGCAATACTTGGGGCTTCCTGTGGCACCCAAGAATCCCATTGTTCAAAGTTTCTACTAAGCCAGCAGGCTTGAAGCTTACAGCACTGGTGAAACATTGTAGTAATCTTGCTATGCTCAGAGTCTTCTATCCCTGGAGCTGGCATGTGAACTCAAATCTATGAGCTGAAGACTTCTGTGCCAGGTTCAGAATTCTCATAACAGGGGTCACCATCAACTGAGCAGGTTTCAGTTGTCAGCTTCCCACCAAGAAATTCTGAGAAAGTCTCTCAGCTCCACATCAGAATTTTGTCTACACCAGCAATATAAATTAAAACATACACCATTACTGCTTTAACAATCTGTGACTATCAGACAAAAGTGGATATTTTTGTTCCTTCTCTTTAGACAATGATCTAATTGTCCTCCTTAATTTGCAGAGATAGACACAGCATTTCTTTGGCCAGAAAATGCTAGATCCTGCATCCAGATACCTAGAATAGGCATCTACTTTACATTTCAGTACTTAAACTCAAATATTATATGTTTCATGAGATGGTACCAGAGGCAAAACTAACTTAAACATTAAGTACGTCACATCAGGCACTTTCTCCCCATATGTGATGAGGATGAATAAATACAGTTATCCTTAAAACCAAGAATAATAATCCATTCTTAATATAGTTTTTTTTTTCAGTTTTCCTAACAAGGAAAAAATTACAAAGTAAAGTACCAGTAAATTAATTTGAAAATATAAAATTACTCCTCTGTGTTGTGACGGCTCTTCAAAAAGTTACATAGAATTACCATATGACTCAGCAATTCTCCTTCTAGGTATAAACCCAAACAAAATGGAAGCAGAGACTCACTTTCACATCAAAGATCATAGCAATATTATTCACAATCATCAAACTGCAGAAACAACCAAAATGTGTATTGACAGATGATAATATAACCAAAATATGGAATATTACTCAGTCTTAAATTGGAGTGAAATTCTGATTTGCACTACATATGGATGAACCTTAAAATATTATGCTAAATGGAATAAGTCAGGCAAAAAAGCAGAAATATGATATAACTATGTGATTGAATGGTTTGTATTTGTATTATTAATTTCATGATGTGTATAGTATCTAAAACAGGCAAAGTCAGAGAGACAAAGTAGAATAGATTTTACCCAGAGGAATCGGAAATAGGAGGTTATTACTTAATAAAGTTCAAAGTTATTGTTTGAAATGAGAGAGAAGTTCTTGAAATTGAGGTTTATACAACTTTGTGAATGTCTTTAATCTTCCTGAATTGTATGCTTAAGAACATAAGAATGATCCCTTTCATGCTCTGTATATTTTACCGAAATGAAAAATAAGTGAACAAATAAGAACTAAAAAATAATTTTTCACTCTGGTATAAGATACTCTATTGATCTTAAGATTTAGGTTTTTTTGCCAGGTTCAAGGAGTGGCAAGAAGTAACGAAAACAGTCCCAGATATGGATTCAGAAGACTTTTTCTCAAATCTCAGTCCAGTCACACATTAGTAACAAAAGTGTGTGTGTGTCACTTAGGATGTTCACACCTTAGTCTCTTTCATTTACACCATACAGAATGAAAATTAAAATGCAAATAAGGTGCTTTATAAATGCAAACAATTATGCAAGTGGATGTAGGCAATTTTTATTATATATTCCTTTAGGGAGATTTGTCATTATAATCTTATCACCAAAATGCAGTTATTAATTCTCATTTAAATATCCTGATAAATTAAGTTATTGTTGTTAAGACTCAGCCAAGGGTTGTTTTTTTTTTTTTTTTCATTAGTTATTTTTGTCATTTTAAAGCACTAAATCCACAGTCCTTAGAATGAAAAACTAATGCTGTATTTCTATGTTTTCATTAACCCTTAACTACAATAAAGGGATCATTAGACCCTTCCATTTACTTCAATGCCTTTTGTTCATTGTCTAGCCTCACTGCACATAGCCTAGGCAAAAGAAGTAAATTGCCTTAAAAAGAAGGGACAATCATATCTTGTCTAGAGGGAAAAAATGGTGGTTCTTTTTTAACTATAATTGTTAAAAAATATATATTTATTTTGTTACCTGCTCTCATTCTCTATTCCAAATCCTCTCATCCGTATCATTCAAACTATTATCAGTCTCTAAGTGGTCAAACACGTACTAATAATTTGACATGATATGTCAAACTGGAGTTATCTTGTAAAGCCCTTTGGATACATAATTACATTGAAAATAAGTATTTTAAAAGGAGCATCAATGTCTTCCTATAACATCATAAGTTAGTATCAAAATTAATGTGATTGAAACAAATGCCAACTAATGTTTTTTTTTTATTTTCCTCCTTAGCGGTTATGTCTTTGACTATGATTACTACAGAGATGATTTCTACAATCGGTATGTGAATTTTTCTTTCTTATTTCCCTATGATTTAAGTCATCTTTAACTATTTTGTGCATTTCATTCACAGATGCTCTTGAATGAAGTGTTAAATATAGTATTTCTTGAAATTATTAAGTAATTTTTATTTTTTAAAATGTTTTTATTCTGTTTATAGTTAAATATAACACATGAAGTCTAAATGGAATGGAAGATAGACAGATTTTTCTATTTTCCTCACTCCTACTGAAATATAGTAGATCTTGAAGATTTAGGACTTTGGAGGCGCTTAATCAGAAAATTTTATTTCTAATATTTGGTTAACATTCTAAGGATTTAGTTAACTAATTATTTTCCAGGTCTGTTGTTGACTTAGAATTTTCAAGATAGAGAGTTTCATTAATTCTGAAAATGATTCCAACCTTCTAAAATATATTTACTTTCATGACACGTTGAAAAGGCTATAATATTGGTTAGAGTTAATAAAATTTACAGACCATTCCTGCTATGCATGATAGTATGGCACCATAAAAGCAATCATCCAAGCTAAAGTCAGGCAAAATGTTGGTAGTGATCAATGATTTAAAAAAAATAGACTTTTCTTATGACTTTTAAATTTTTTGTTAAAACTTTTAAAACACTTTTACTCTCTGCCCTATAAGTGCAGAGGGCTTTGCAGTAAAGCTAATAGTGATTCAGCAGCATACTACAATTGAAAACAATAAGATTTTGAGAATTAAGTTTTTTTATTTGTTTGTAGAAAATTTTACCAAAAGTAGACAAATAGTGCGTGCCTTCTTTTTATTGCAAAACTTAGGCTGTGGAGCAAGTATCTTTTTTTAAGCCTTAGTGAACAGTCCTCCTTCTTTCTGAAGTTGGATCAGTTCGACATCCTCTGAGAGTTCGTTCCTTCAATGGATGGTACTTTTGCCACCATGGCTTCCTCTCCATATCTTCATCTCCTTTCATCTCATTACACCCATTTTCCTCACTTATGCTAATAAACTTGCTTTATCAATTTCCTTTTGTTCTATATCTAGAGTCTCTCAAATGGAAAAGTGTCAACATCCCTATGACCATCTATTTTTTTAATAATTCCAATTACATTCGATTTGAAATTCACTTCCAGTATCATCACTCTTAGGTGTGATAGTTCATTTTTGTAAAATGCCACATGAGTTTATCATTGAGAGACAAGGAGGCATTACAACTACCTGATTGCTATCTGTATATGAACTAAATAACATGAACAGCAACCAATCTTTCACAGACTCGGTGACATGATTGGTCATTGGACATGATGCACATTTGCTATTCATGCATAGTCATTTGTAGATGGAAAAGTTAGCAGCAAAGATTACACTTTATAAAATTACTCAGAGGTTATATGCTGTGGTAACTGAAAACTAATTTGTATTGTTGGACAATTGGTGTTATTTAACTAAACACTGATAACATGCATATATAAGATATGCAACCCAAGGACCAAATGTAGAAAGATCTTTGGGGAAAAACAGAGGTAAATATCTTTTAAGTCATTAGTAAATGTTTAATTATAAGTACTACTAAAGCAAAAAAATCCAAATAAGAATGCAAACCTGGAAAAAATAATTTTCAGTAGACATTTTTAAAAGGGAAGGAATCTTGTAATCGATTGAAAAGTTCCAGCTGCGCAGGTCCTATTCAGTTCTGTGAGAACACTATGTTCCTTCCTGCCTCAGGTCCTTTCTCTGTGCTGTTCCATCTCCTCACACCTCCCTCCACTGCCTAGTTCACTTGACTCCATCCTTCAGATCTCAGCATGAACACCACTTCCAGATTAAATTAGATTCTTCTGTTTCTCTCTCTCAGCCCCCAACATTGTTTCTTCTCAGCACTTTTCCAAATTTGTACTGCAATAATTCTTTCTGCAGTGACTTTATTTGATTCACATTTGCCTTCCCTCTTCCATGAGGGCTCCAACAATGTTAACCTTTGCTTATCTTTGTATCTTCAGGGACTATCAGTAAACCTCACACATAGTAGATATTCAATTTTTATTATTATTGCATCTCTCTACATTTAAGGAGATGCATTTTCCCAAGGTCACCCAGCCAATTAGTGACAGAACTACAATCATAACCTGGGTATCTGTTTTAATTCAATAACCCACTGTGTGAATGTACAAAACAGAGGAGAAGCAATGTTAGTCCATGATATAAAATAAAGACACAGCCTTGCCTACTTAGGAGTCAGAGCTACATCAGTAATTATTACTATGTCCAAACTACTGGGTTAAGCAAAGTATTTTACTAGTTACATCTGTGGACAAAAAAATTATATTTAAGAATAATTTTTCTCAAATCACTTATGATTTCTACAAAATATAAGAGTTTAAGTAATAACTTACAATAACTTGTTATTAAAGTGATATGAATGTCTATCAGCCTTAAGATAATCCTACTTACTATTGTGAAAAGATAATATGGAAACAGTCTACACTTTTGTATAGTAGACATTTTCTATTACAGCTTTATTTTTTCAGGGTGCAGCACGTTGTCCTAATTTCTATTAACACACATTGTCTTACAGTCTGTTAATATGAAATTGTTCTAGCCTCTTAACTGTTTTGTATCATGTAACTTCCTTGAACACTTAAAGAATTTATTCCTAAAATGGAGTCCTGCTTTAGAAGGCAGGAGACCCAAGGTCTGATGACAATTATAGATTTGGGGACCAGTCAGGTTTTCCATCTTCTCATCTTTAAAGAGAAGACAAGATCTGTATTTTACTACTTCCAAATGACAGCTCAGAAAAATAGATGATAGGTAAGATAGATCGATCTTACAAAGAGCAAGAGCCTTAAGCAGTCAAATAATTATAGAGCTTGAAGCTTTCAGTTAACTCTCCACTGCACAAAAAAAGCTAACTCTGAATGATTTTCAAACATTTGTTTGTCTTCTGCACAATCTGTTTGGCTTCTCAGTGTGCAATAGATCAGTGTGACTGTGCTGTTAACAGACTATCTGAACAGTCTGTGCTTTCATTAGTTTATTTTTCATGTTTTGCACTTGGCTTAAAAAGACATAAGCATCTGCTACCAGTGTATATACTCAAGAGCTCCCTGTAAACACAGAATCCCACAAAAAGGAAAACAGAATGGAGTGGGTAGATGAGAGAAATAGTCTACAAAGTCACTACAACAGTTTTATCCACAGTGATTTCTCCTAAATTACACTTGGCTTGTACTGATGGTTAAATTTTTAAAAACTCTTTTTAGTAGCAGTGCAAACTTGGGCAAATCATTTAAAACTAAACCTGTTGTCTCATCTGTTAGGTAAGCATGAAGTTAATTTCCAACACAAATTTGTGCTGAGGATTAAATGAGGGAACATGTGTAGGGATCAGCATTATGTCTGGTGTATATTTAATGCCTAATCAATGTTAACTACTGGTAACAATTAACAGTAACCATTTATGGTCATGAAAGTGTTTCTTATATGGATATTCATATTGCAAAGTTCATATGACTGAGAAATAAGCTGGTTGGTTGGTTAGGCATCCTTCCATAATAGTACATTGTGACCCTCTGGATTAACCTGTTTGCATCATTTTCTCTTAACCTACTCCCCAGAGCATTCCAGCTGCAGCAGAATACACATGGAGGGGTGTGGGGCACTCAGCTATTTCCATTAACTCCATGTTGCTTTGTTTAAGTCAGGAAAACAAAATGGCACTAGTTACGTTTAACTGGGATCACTGCATATAAAAACTTGCTAACTAGGAATTAAACAACTGAAAAGGCAAGAAGGAAACACCCTACTATAACGGAGTTAGTAACTGCAGGAGTCAGATACCACCTCTAAGGTTGGGGAAACAAAGGAAGATTTTGGAATTATCAAAGTGTAGTGAAAATCGGGTATGGTGCCATACACCTGTAATCCCAGCTACTGGAAAAAATGGCTTGAGCCCAGGAGGTCAAGACCAGCATGAGGAGTAGTGAGACCCCATCTCAAAATAAGAAAAAGAAAAAGGTATTGTAGAAAAAGGGTGTTGCAGAGCTGAAAATATGGCCAAGTAGTTCTTCTCGGACAGTGCTGCTGTCCCTGTATGCATTTCTGAGCTAGGGGCATAGTCTGCAGGTGCAGATGTCTCAGAGGGAAAGTGAAGAGGGAACTCTGTAAGTGTTGCAAAATGACTCCAACTAGATTCTGGCTGCAGCTACTGGAATGAATTGCTGCTGCCAAGGTGAAGAAACAAGGTCAGAGTAGTGCTCAGAAGAGCAGGAAGTGAAAACAAAGAGAAGCAAGTCCCTTTTCCTACAGGTCTTGCTATTTCCTCCTTGGGCCCTTCATTGGCTGAGCCTAGCAGGAATCCAGCTCCCTTACCTGCAGAAATGTGGTCTACAGAATGCAACCCAACCTATAGCTAAGGATAGATATGAAGGCTGAGAAACAATAAATTGATATTTAGCTGCATCGTATTGTCATTACTCTTCTACCAGATCTGGGGATTTTAATATAACAGAGGATTTTTAATTCTTAGGTAAAGTTTTATCTTAGAAAAATTTTTCTACACAGACTTCCATCTTGTGATTGCTGTGGTTATTCATAGTTTCAAGGATTATGATGTGTATTACTAAATAGTATATTTGAATCATTATCATCAACTTTTATCTTTTCCATATTTTGCACAAAACATTGCCCCCAAATTTTTAGCCTTCAATGGCATATTCTTTTATGTATAAACACAGAATGTTGCATATTATTAAAGCTAAATATAAATATTTATGTGCTTCCAAGGAAAGTAAAAGGAGAGGTATACCTAAATACATTGAATACCCTCAGAGAATGTTTGCAATTTTAGAAATTAGCAATTTAAATCCATGTTTTCTTTCATTAGTACCAGGAAGAGCACTGAGCAGTTTACATGCTCCAGTGATAAGTAAACTTTTGTTTATAGGGAAAAAGAATGCCAGAGGTGTCTTACCATATAGAAAATATGTATACGTTTTAGGTGACTCAAAATGGGCACTGTTCAATTCTGATACAACTTTGACCTTGTGTTAATCCTTGTATTAATTAGATGAAAAAAAAGCTACTCCGGTTTTGGTTGATGAGAAAATTCTGAGTTCCAGTTGTGTCAGATCATTAATTATAGAACACAGTATATATTCATGATACTGGAAAAAATTAACAAGGAGCAATGTCTATTTCATTATGCAAATTTATCATCTGATAGAATGGGATTCCACGTAAAGTTTGGAAATAACAGCATGGTATAGTTGACAAAGGGCGTGATTTGGAGTCAGAAGATGTGAATTTCAAGCCTCCGTGCACATATGTTGACTGATTAAACTTGAGGAAGTTATTTCTTCCCTTTTTCCTTCATGGACAAAAATGACTTAAAATACCAACATTACAAGGTTAGTGATTTTTAACCTCACCTTGGCCATTTGAATATATTAACTGTTTAATTCCATAAAGATGTATTTAAAAAAAACAGCAGGTAGCAATCTTAAGAAAAACATCAAAATATTAAGGTCAAAAAATGGCAAAAAATTATCTTTCGAGTTTGCAGCCAAATTGACTTTAAAAGCATCTTCAACAAGTATTTGCACATGTCTCAGGAGGTAAACTTCACAGAAAACCTTGGAAGAGTTTAATGATGTAAAAGAGCAATAGACATTACTCATCATGACTGGTTATCAGGTGAAATGTGCCATTTAAAATTCTTTTCTCCTTTTTTCTATTTTCTTTTATTTATTTATTTTGCAAAGAGAACTTCATTTTAATGTGCAAATTTATGTTCTTCCTTTTGGGCTCAGCAGTATGATGCAACCATGTTTTCATTTTATTAAAATAAGTTTCCACAACTTGCATTACATCTATAATTTCATGAAAATTATTTTCCAATTTAGTTGTAATCAAAAACTATTTGAACCCAGGGTAGAAATCATAGTCAGTTTGTGAATTTTTGACTAGTTCAAACAGTATAGGAAACAGGTGTGTTACTAGCCTATAAGAATCATTTGTGTGGATTTCAAAAGAGTGGGCACTTTAATTTGGTTTTACAAACTATAAGTCTGTGAGAAGTCAAGTTTGAAGGAAAGAGGGGTTCAAGGTTGAATCAAAATGTGACTAATATTATTGGTCCTCTAGTTGTTGATCTTCATGTATCTGCTGAAATGTCCTGGTGAGAACCTGACCCTGAATTTGTTCTCAGAATTTCCCTCTGAATGGAGCAGTGATTTATCCCCCTAGCCATACATTTTGTTAGCATTAACTACAGAGTGACAGTAAGGTTGATTTATAAGTAGGGAAAATAAAGAACAATTTTCCTGAGGGAAATTTTAAAGAAAACAGATAATTACCATAAAATACTCAAAATTATTGTTAATCTGTCATGAAAATTTAGTCCTTGGTGACAAAATCTATGCACATATTAAATTTTTCAAATTTTTCTTTTTTTGAAATCTTATTAGTCTTTAGGAAAAAATAAGAATCAAGGCAAAAGCTTAACAATGGGGTAATGATTTATTCGAATGTGGCATGTCTACTTGAAAGAGTGTACTCCAGCAATTAAAACAAACATTAGCAAGCTTGAGAAATGCTTTTAATACAAACCAAAGTGCTTGAATACATGACTATGCATACATTATGTTTTCAAGTTCGTTAAAAATATGGATGTTTATAGAAAAAAAGATTGAAGTGTTTTAAAATGAACCTTGGGGAAAAGAGAATTATATATTTGGCTTCATGATAAACCATTATCTATTTGACCAAAAGCATTAGGAGAAAAGCTATTTAGACCAAATAACATTAGGAAAAATGAAGAATTGTTAAAGGAAAAAAAGGGAATATAAGTCTAAGAGTGAAAGAAATGAAAAATAAAGCAAAGATAAGAGGAAGAAAAAAATTATAAGATTTTAGTTGAATTTTGAGATTTGGATTCCAAATAATTGTATTGAATTTCCATTTTCATTGCAGATCTATAATTTTAAGTTAACTGTTTCCTTTTTCTTAACACTATTTGCCAGTCTATTTTTTTTTTTTTTTTTGTAGAGGCAAACTTCTTTGGTTTACTGTAGATAGAGTTCTGATGAGAAAGCCAATGTTTATCTCCTCCCACGGCCTTCCATCTGCTTCCCTGGGTTAGAAGAGTCCTATGCCCTGTCTCACAATCCCAGAGGGCCTGGCTCACTTCCTTGTTTTATGTTGTTATGCATTCGGACAACTTCCAGTCTTCCTTCCCTTTATTTCTGATATACTCAAGGTACCCAATGAAAGTTAAGAAAGTCTCCATTGCCATTCGATGTTGTAAAATTAAAAATTATGCTCTTATGTGAGGTACCCATTGTTTTGTGAATTACATATCCCATTAAAATATGTAAGTTGTGATGCTATCTTTCCATAAGAGTGGCACAATGAATTGGTAAAACCTCACCTGATTCCTTGGTGAGAAAAGTTGTCTCCCATTGAAACAACTCACCAAAATATTCAGAGGACAAGGGCCACTTTCTATAGGAATTTGCATCAAAGAGTACAACATACATTCAGTATGTTATTCAAATGTATGCCACAGACTAGAAGTGCATCACAAAAACAATGAATAAAAGCAGATCTCTTTTCTCAAGACCAGTGTAGCTCAACACAGGAGTCTTTGGAATCCTTGGCTGAGGAATGCAATACAAAATATCGACAAACATTTCAGTCTTCTATAAAATATTATTGGAGTGAATTGTAATATTGAAGTAGCAATTACTTGGCCTGCATTTCCATTATAGTATTCTTACATTATTATATATTTTTTATTATGCATCAGAGATTTTCTTAACCCAATTTATAGATTCACTTATTTAATGAACCTGCTAAATTACACATGCATGGCCTGAGGAAATGGCCTCTCCAAAGAGCTTAGCTTTTCACCTCCAGGGGTAACTTCTACCCTGGAAAATATGAGTCAATTGCCATATTTTCTTTCCCCTCATAGTTTTGGGGTATCGTAGTTCATGCAAAATGCCGTCATGTTTTGGCTCACTGACTTAAGGAGCTCTGTGAATTCAACTTATAAATAACTAATGCAGACCTTGTTTTGTGATTGAAACAAGGGGCAGGTTTCCTTGACCCTTTTCATTTTGAAATCCCTGGTGGTGGGGATGATATTCATAACCCCTTTCAGACTCATCTTGCCTATATATACTCTTGGAAGTAAACTGTACTGTGCTGATACTCATGACCTGTTCTGTGCTAGCCATCCTTTGTCTCTAATGGACTTTGCTTATTCACAGAGGATGCCCCTTCTCTTGAACTCTGTCTCATTTCACTTCTTTTCCGTTTCAGATATCTCCTGGCTTTTTCCCCAAAATGTTTCCAAATTGTTTTTGGACACTTTAGCTGTCTAACATAGAAGATATTCTTAGTACTAAATAATTGCTTTAAATTTGTTTATATATTGCCTTTCTGCCAGAGTGTAATAGTTTGAATTTTTTTGAATACTTGAAAATTAGCCTATCTTAAATTTATTATAGTTCATATATTTTTCAAAACAAGATTATCACATTTTCAGATGTATGTGTAAACAAGATGTAATTTTATGAAACAACCTCTTAGAAATATTGTCTTTTTCCATATTTTTATTGGTGCTTTATGATTATACATAATGGTGGGACTTGTTATTACATATTTGTTCATGCACACTATGTAACAATATAATTTGGCCATTATCGTCTTTCAGTAATTCTGTTAGAAATTATAGGGTATTTTTATTGTTTTTTTTTTCCTGTTCTAGTTTTCTCATTTCTGACCTTTATATTGGATTATTTTTATTGACTGTTTTAAAGCAATTACGAGACTAGAATTCATATCATGGTGTCACAACAAAAAATATAACAATCATAATTCTAAGTCAATAATGCTGTTTTCTTTATATTGGAAAACATAATTACACATCTTGTTGTTTGGCAAATAGTTTCAAAAATAAATGAGTAAAATGTGTCCCAATATATTTTCTCTGATCTTTTATGTGTCTCAAATATGCTGTCATGTAAAATTTTGTTGTATATGAATATGCAGTATAAATAATATGAAGCTTTTAATCCTTTAAAGTATATATTTGTATAAATGAGTTTATATTCTTTCAAATTCATCCCTTTTATTGTTTAATTATCATTAAACAATGTGGAGAATATAATTTCTCACATTTTAGTAAAAGTAGGAGATTATTGATTTTGGGGGGGTTAGAAGAATTTTCTGTAGTTACTATACATATATCTCTACTCTCAGTTTGCATATCCAATAAATGCTCAGGATGATAAAATATATCCTGGCAAATATTTCCCACTAGTGCTTTAGTCAACAAAATTGGGTCCTCACCCTAGTTCTATTTTATTCGAACCTTTTACATATAGTTGGAGGAGGCTTGATTACTTAAAAAGTCCTTAGAGAGAGGTATGGCACCATATTGATTTGTCTCAGAGTTGTTTTCTTTAAGCTGGTTTTATTTCTATTTGTTTTATTTCTATTTGTTTTCCTCTGGACTCTGTTTTCTGATCAGAAGATCATTTTCTTTATTTTGTTCTTGATTCTGCATAATCTTTCCTATTTTCAAGCTAGTGTGCTAATAAGTGTCTGAGGTATAAGAGGAAGATTTCTGTTCATGAGAAGGGTAAACTGGTTTATCCAAGCAAAGAAATATATTTGGGAACAAAGGTCAGTGTAATTTCAACAAATTGCACGGTACTATTGGAGCAAAGCTCCTTGTCTTTTCATTCCTTACAAATGAGTTCATATTGGGGTCATATTCTAATGTCCAGAAAGCATAGTGTATATTTTCATCCTATTTCTTTGTGAAAAATAAATCTGCCAATAAACAGCTTTTCTGAATATTAAACAACAGAAAAAAAATTATTGTAAAATTTTACCAGAACATTCTTTTCATCATCTCAAACATTTAGGCTTCAAACCAACTTGGTCCTGTTTGTGTCTTGTGAAGGTTGTTTGATTACCATGGGCGTGTGCCTCCACCTCCCCGTGCAGTGATCCCGCTGAAGCGTCCCAGAGTGGCTGTCACGACAACTCGCCGGGGGAAAGGAGTCTTTTCAATGAAAGGGGGATCAAGATCTGCTGTCAGTGGGTCTTCCTCCTCAGGCTCTAAGTGTAAGTAATGTTCTTTATTTCCTTTTAAATAAAAGTAGGAATAACCATCACTGCATAACTGTCGATAGTCCATAAATTAACGAGGCAACCATCAGAGAGACATAAAACAGGGATGGAATGACCTCTGCTTTCCTGTGAAGCAGGGGAGCAGATGCCAACATGGTGACAAAGGTTCTGGGCCAATCTGAAAAGAACTGTAAAAGTATCTTACCCCAATGTACTCTCAGCTGATTTAGCTTGTGATTTATTAAAGTCCTGAAATAAAATGTATTGCTTTTTAATGAGGTAACAATTTCACTTGAAAACAGAATGCCATCTTTTCAGAGATGTTTTATGCAAAATTAGAGTTTGTTTTGAATATTTGAGCATTAAGATAATTAAAATGGGCAGACTACATGATAGCCATGTTAACAAACAAAACTTAACATGTATTCTAAATCATTATAAGGGTACATGTCTGAAAATACACTTAGTATCACAAAAAAAGAAAACACTATGTGCATAACTCCACATGAATCAGAAAAAAGGAGAAATGCAAACTTTCTAACTAAACACATTGCTAAATTTCTATCTAGACAGATTCAGAAAAAAACTCTAAACTGGTATTAGAATAGTATCCTAAAGAAAGAACCACACCATTTTCTGTGTTCCTTGATATTACATGTTAGCAGAGCAGAAGTAAACAACACACACGTATCTCACTGGTATTTTAAAAATGAAAATACAGAGACACGCAGGAGTGCTATATTTCACAGGATGATCAATGACTACCTGTGGTTGTTGACAGATGGAAACCTGAAGAAGTTGAGTGAGCAAAAGAGCAAGAGAGAGGGATCCCTGACATTACGGAGCACTGTTCTCAGCAAATGGTCAGTGCAGAGACCTTAAGTTGGCATAGTTAAGGAAGAACAACAGAGCTAGTGTGGCTGCAGAGAGCCAGGTAGGAAAGTAGAACTGCAGATGTGATCAGAGGGCAGGTTCCAGCACAGCCCGGTAAGGGTGTTACGTGTACGTATTCTGCCACCCCTTCAGAACAAGTGAGACAGATGTTTTTACCCCATTTTTATTAATGAGCAAACATAGAAGGTTATGTAACTAGTAAATGGTAGAGTCAGAACTATCTGTATCAGAAATACTAAGCATCATTATCAAAATAATTTCCTTTTACATGAAAATTGGCAAAGAAAAAAAATAGTTCAGAAAAGAGAAAGGTACTGATGCTTCTAGAAACTCTCAAGTTTGGCCTGCTAAGAGTTTCACTGAGAATTTAACTCAGCTAATATAACCTCAATGGCAAACTAAATAAATTTGCAGTTCTCTATGCGCTTATTTATCCAGTCTATTCTGTAGATAGATAAATATGAATTCTTTTTCGAGTCTAGTAATAAGAGAAAATGAGTTTCTGCTATAGTTTCCACACACTCTAATATACTCTCAGATTACTGTTAAGAGCAAAGAGAGCTGCGGAACTTGGTTCTTGTTGTAGAAAATTGAACACTGAATTGCCTGCTAGGTTTATAGAAGACTGTTTTACCATTGGTGGTATTAACTTCAAATAGAAATATCTAAAGCATCATGGATTGTTTGTCTTGTGGTCATCTTAAAATAGTATTTAACAACAAAAGCATTACTGGCATTTTGCTGGATAGTCCTACATTGTGTAAGAGGATTCCTAGTGGGAAGTTTTACTCCCTGTATTAGAATAAATTCTAATGTCATATATAACTAAAAAATTAATTAAAAATTGAATAAAAAGAGTATCCTGAGCTCTGCAGAGCGTTTAGCATCCCTGACCTCCAAACCTTAAATAGCAGTAGGATTCTTCAATGTTTGTAACTATAAACACACCTATACATTTCTAAGTATTCCCCGTGGACATGTTACCAACCAAATTTAGAGTCACTGATGTAGAAAAATACTTGCCTTACCTTGAAGCCATTTTCTAGAAGGTTCAGTAATATAGGACTCAATCCTCAGTTGTCATGTACTCCAGTGCATTACTGAGAAGAGTAGCAACTTCCAGAGGTTATTTCAAAGTAAATATCTCAACATTCAAATGGTTAAAATTTGGTACTTCATTTTTTGATTTCTAGTCTTATAGTGTCATTACTAGAGAATGAGAACTTTAAAAATATCCTTTTATAATTTTATTAAGAATTTCTTGTTTCCATATTAATAAGATTTTCTAAATGAACATGCAAACAGACTATATTTTCTGCTTTAATATAGAACTGAGTATGGAGTGTTAGATTGTTGGTTGTATTATCTAAATACTCTTTAGACTTGTTTTTCTTGTAGCAAATTTATCATGATAGAGATTTTACATAGATTTTTTTTTCTTAAGGCTTTGTTTTATATGCCATATCCCTTGGATGATTTATATAACTGTTAATAATAATAATAATATAAGAAGAAGAAGAAAAGTAATAGCTACCATTTTTTAGTGTTATGATGGCTATTATTTTGAGCACTTCACATATCAATTTATTTATTCTTCACAAATACCCCTGTAAGTGAGCTATTCTTTTTCCTATTTGTTCTTTTTAGTTATACATGACAGTAGAAAGTATTTTGACATATCAGACATACATGGAGTACAACTTCCCATTCTTGCAGTTGTACATCATGTGGACTTACACTGGTCATGTAATCATATTTGAACATAGGAAAGTTATGTCCAACTCATTCTACTGTCTTTCCCATTCCCATCACCCCTCTCTTCCCCCATTTTTCCCACCCCCCTATCCAATCAGCAGTATCTCCACTCCCCCCACCACCTATTGTGAGTCAGCATCTGCATAGCAGAGAGAACATTTGGCCTTTGGTTTTTGGGGATTGGCTTGTTTCATTTAGCATGATAGTCTCCAGTTTCACCTTTTTCAGGCAAGTGCTATAATTTCATTTTTCTTTATGGCCAAGTAATATTCAATTGTGTGTATATACTTCATTTTCATATATCCATTCATCTACTGAAAGGCACCTAGGTTGGTTCCACAGCATAGCTATTGTGAATTGAGCTGACATGAACATTGATGTTGCCATGTCACTACAGTATGCTGATTTTAAGTTGTCTGGGTATATGCCAAGGAGTGGGATAACTGGGTCAAATGGTGGGTTCCATTCCAGTTTTCTAAGGAATCTCCATACTGCTTTTCAGAGTGGTTGCAACAATTTTCAGTCCCACCAGCAACGTATAAGTGTGCCTTTTCCCCACATCCTCTTCAACATTTATTATTGCCAGTATTCTTGATAATTGCCATTCTGATTGGAGTGAGATGAAATCTTAGTTTTGATTTGCATTTCTCTAGTTGCTAGGGATGTTGAACATTTTTTTCATACATTTGTTAACCATTCATATTTCTTCTTCTGTGAAGTGCCTGTTCAATTTCTTTGCCCATTAATTGATTGGGCTATTTGGTTTTGGGTTTTTTTTTTTTTTTTGGTATTAAATGTTTTGAGTTCTTTATGTATCCTAGAGATTAATTCTCTATCTGAGGTGCAGGTAGCAAAGATTTTCTCCCATTCTGAGGGCTCTCTGTTCATGTTCTTGATTGCTTTATTTACAATGAAGAAGCTTTATAGTGTGATACAATCCCACTTATTTATTCTTGATTTTATTTCTTGCACTTTAGGACTGTTATTAAGGAATTTGGTTCCTAAGCCAACATGATGAAGATTTGGGCCTACTTTTTTCTTCTATTTAGGGCAGGGTCTCTGGTATAATACCTAGGTTCTTGATCCACTTGAGTTCAGTCTTGTGCAGGGTGAGATATAGGGGCCTATTTTCATTTTATTTCATATGGATTTCCAATTTCTAAATGGAGAAAAATTGGAAGCTTTCCCTCTAAAACCTGAAACAAGACAGGGATCCCCTTTTTCACCACTTCTCATCAACATAGTCCTAGAAACTCTAGCCAGAGCAATTAGAAGAAAGAAATTAAAGGGATACAAATAAGGAAAGAAGAACTCAAATATCCCTATTTGCTGATGACATGATTCTATATTTAGAAGACCTAAAAAATTCTACCAGAAAATTTCTATAACTCATAAATGAATTCAACAAAGTATTAAGATGTAAAATTAACACCCATAAATCAATTGTATTCCTATGCATTGGTGATGAATCAACTGAAAGAGAAATTAGGAAAACTACTCCATTCACAATATCCTCAAAGAAAATAAAATATTTGGGAATCAACCTAACAAAAGAAGTGAAAGAGACCTCTACAATGAAAACTACAGAACACTGAAGAAAGAAATTGAAGAATATCTTAGAAAATGGAAAGATTTCCCATGTTCTAAGATAAGCAGAATTAACATTGTCAGAATGGCCATACTACCAAAAGTGCTATACAGATTTAATGCAATTCCTATTAAGATTCTGGTGACGTTCTTCATAGAAATAGAAAAAACCATCATGAAATTCACTTGGAAAAATAAGTGGCAAACATAGCCAAAGCCATTCTCAGCAAAAAAAGCGAAGCAGGCAGCATCATGATACCAGACCTGAAATTATACTACAGAGCTATAGTAACAAAAGCAGCATGGTATTGGCACCAAAACAGACATGAAGACTAATGGTACAGAGTAGAAGACACAGAGACAAACCCACATAAATACAGTTTTCTCATACTAGACAAATACACCATAAACACACATTGAAGAAAAAATAGCCTCTTCAACAAATGGTGCTGGGAAATCTGTAAATCCATATGTAAGTGAGCTAGTTTTATCATTCGCATTTTACAAGTGTCAGAAATGAAATATTGAAACATTAAGAAATATCACTAAGGTCACAGAGCCATTAAATAACAGATCCCTGAACCACAGCCTAGCTCCTCATCTGTTTCAGAATAAGCCCTTGAGCTTATACCATTTTCCATGTCCTCATTTTCCACATCCTCTCCATGACTTCTTGGAGAATTGTAACTTTTAGAATTATATAATATCCCATGAACTCTTCCTAACCTTAAATTTTACTAGGCTACTTGGTTTGATCC